ATGCTTCTACTTTATCTTTTTCCCTTTTCCCACCTTTGGTCCTTCTTGTTAGAACAGTTAGAATGGCGTAATTAAAGACTGATCCCTGATGTACCCTCACTTCAGTAAAAAAGACTGATGTTGTACAGTAGAATATTTGGGCAAGTCCAATTTCTAGTGTTGGAAATCACAGTTCAAACTTGCTTCATGCTTCTATGCTATAGTTTTCTGTTTTTTTCCCCACCTTTGGTCCGCTGTCGTGTGATTGGTTGGCACTGTCCTGCGAGTCGTTCCCCCTCCTGGCGTCACGGCGGTCGCGGTCCCGTCGGCGCTGGTTACGCCCGGATCTCTGCGGGGACTCCGTCCTGAACAAACACAGACAACAGGATTGGGACTTAGTACTTGTAAATGCGGTGTTCCACAAAGATTGGGACTTAATACTGACACTGAGAGAGTCTTCAAAGAAGCAGAGAATGTTGTCTGTACAATGGTCTCTGTACAATTTATATGTACAACCTAAAACAAAATGTTTACTATGTAACTTGGGAGGACTAAAGAAAAAGAAAAAGACAACAAATCTCTTCAGAAATGTTGTGTACCTTGAAAAACGATTCACCATAAAAAATCCAAGGGTGATATAAATTCTTTAAAGGTTTCGACATTGTTATTCCTACTGACAAAGCAGAGAATATTCTCTTGTAGGTGAATTCAAAAGTACAAATTAGCTGAAATCAGGAGGTACATGTATATCCTATAGAAATAAAAGGTTTACAATTACATGTGAACCTAGCCTGCTCTATTTAGTTACCTGTCAAATCTGTTGAAGATGTTTATCAGAGTTAGCCTGGGTACCATCCCCAGTAGTATATTCGCAAACTCTATAACTGGGTCTGGACTTGCACACATATAAAACGATTGGTCATGACGTCACGTAATGAGCTAGCCCGAGCAGCGGCGCTTCATTTGATTGGCTGAGCCTCAGAGGCGACGGCCAATGGCGCGCCTGCATTATTCAAGTGATGTTTGTTGTTTTGTAAACACAGATCTTCGCGCGAGTGTTCCTTTTCTCGGTGCGTTCTTTTTTTTACCGGTAGGACGCCCAAAACATCACGAACGAAATTATTCAATGCATCTTTTTGCTCATTTTTGAGCGACGATATTCCGTCTAAATCGTCCAAAACGGACGTGATTGCGAGGTCAACATCAACCTCCGTGAGCTGAGCGGCTTGTGCGTCAGCCATGTTGATGATTTATCGCGGAAAAACTGACTACGGCTATATCATGTGCGCTTTAGCGTTCGGTTCGCCGTCGGACATGTTGATGATAAGGCGTTCGGACGTTCGAACGGACGCTAACGTCGCCGTTCGGACATCCGAACAGCCATTACCTAATATGTACACACCCAAAAAGGGCTTAGACGAGTAGGACCAATCAGCGCGCTCGTTCAAAATCTGAACGAATATTTAGACTCCAGACGCTACATATGTGTGCAAGTCCAGACCCAGTTATAGAGTTTGCGAATATACTACTGGGGATGGTACCCAGGCTATATCAGAGTTTCATACCAGGAAATTTGTTAAGCTGAGCCAGCAAATGTCTAACTGTAACTTACACTGTACTGTACATGTAAAATATTCATGTGAATTCTCATCTGAAATAGGAATGGGTAATGTTGGATTGAGGGAATAAAAGATGATATATATGGAGGTTCCTTACCCCTGTTCCCGGTTACCCTGCTGCCCAGAGTTTGAACTGAAGGTGTTAGAATGGAACAGACGAGATGTTAGTAAACAAACACACAGATGTGACAAATGTTAGAGACAAAAACAAGCTCTACTGTTAAACACAAAAACACACCCAACCTAAGAACAGTCTAGAAACACCAGCCAAACCAACACTCCTGGATCATACCCACCCTTTTCCCCTGTTCCCACCTTGTCCCTGACCCTGCTGAGGTTTATTCCTGGGTGAGACAGACAGACAGTTCACAGATGTAACATGTAACACACACTCTGAACTGTTAGGATGTTAATGTACAGACAAAAGAGCAACACACACACACAATGAACAGGGCTCTCCCCAAGCAAAGAAGCAAGGGTGCTCCCCCTCTTTCCAGAATCCTAGAACCTCTCCCAAAATGTTCAAATCCTCTTAGTATTTACATGAAAATTTGCTGATTTTTCATCAACCGATTAGGGAGCACCTCTTCCCTCAGAATTTATGGGAAGAGCCCTGATGAACAGCAATAACCCAACTCACCCTCTATCTTTCTGCCCCTCCTTAGCCCTGTCCCGGTTTTGTCTCTGCCCCTGGTCCTGTCTTGGTTCAGTCGGCTTGTTAGTGTCCGAAGCCTGTGCCCCTACCACCCTGCTTTAGCTCAGGTCCCTCCCGCTTTTGCTCAGTCCTACTCTGCTGTCCACCGGACCCAGCCCTGGGTTTGTTTCCACGGTTTTGTCCGTCCTGGGTTGTTTTCCCCATCTGGTTCTGTCCGGCCCTATTCCGGTTCGGTCCGGTTCTATCTGGATTTGCTCTATCCTGGTTCCTATTCTGACCCTGTCCGGTCCTCCCCTGGTTCTGGTTGGATCTGTCCTGGTTCCTGTGACCTTTTCCCTGCCCCACCCTGCATGCATGGATGGACGAACACACACATGAACAGGAGGCTACTTACCCAGACTCGCCCCTCCCCTCTCCAGACCTTCCCCACTCACGTTACTTACTACGTCATACAATGTCAGAGACGAGACAAATATAGCCTCTACCAGGCTTCAGGAGGCGGCTGGAAAGAGTAGAAATTGGCCAGATAGAGAGATATCATGCCAGGGGAGTTGGTCCGCTAGTGAGTACATTTTTCCACAAAATGTACCCTCTGGCTGGCTAACTCCCCTGTATACTATTCCCTTTGTTTTAGCCAATTTCTACTATGTTTCCAGTGATCTGCAGTGCCTGGTAAAGGCTAAGACAAATACATAGTGGCATGATGAAAAACATGCATACGTCGGTGAAGGTTAGACATTCAGCTAGTAAGATAACAAAAAACAGTTACTCAAGCAACTGGATATGATTTTGGAAACGATCAAACATTTCAGGTAGCATCCAATACCTTCGTAAGCGACAACATTTCCAATGTTACTGCAAAAAGGTAGTGGATGCTAACTAAAACGTTTTTAAAACCATATCCAGTTGCTTGAGTAACTATTTTATTGGTGAAAAACACATGTCTTTACAGACCCTCTTTCCCTCTTGGCCAGCTGAAGGCTACTTACCCCACCCTTCCCCACCCCACCCCTCTCCAGACCTTTTTTACTCTATGACTGTGTCATACAACATCAGAGACTGGACAAGTACACAACGAGAGAAGACCACACTCCTACCCTCTGTCCCTGTTGCCCTGCTGGCCCTGTCCGGCGCGGTCGCGGTTCTGGTGTGTCCGGTCGCGGTCCCGCCCGGGTCCCTGCGGCGGCGCGCTGCTGACCTGGGGCCTGCGCCGCTCCGGGGAAGCCGTGCTGATGCCCTAAAGAACCAAACATGAAAGAGTCAGCTGTTGCCATGGAAATAGGGAGTCATCTGTTACCATAGCTTCAGCACCACCACCAGGGTAGTAAGCTGTTTCTATGGTAACAAGGAGTCAGCTGCCATAGCCACACCAGCAGGGGAGTCATCTGTTGCCAACACCACCACCAGGTCAGCAAAATAGCACAACTGTTACCATGGTAATGCCTGGGCTTGCAGTAATCATGCATTCAAACTTTAACAACAGATATTAAGTCCTTACCTGTCATCATGCACACAAGCATGGTAGTTAATTATGTGTTACTGCCATCACTAGAAAGTGCAGCCAGTACAGTCAGCGTGTTAGGCCATGCAAAGTTACTTTTCTCTGGAGGTGATCATCTCAGAATACCAAAAATCTGATGTCAGGTTGAAAAAGAATTTATTGATGTTTATGGACTTCCATACATTCCAAATAACCACTCACACAGCTTTTTAACTTTACTGATATGGAAAAGGCTGTTTTTTCTTTCTTTCCAACCTGACACCTGATCTCTAGCCTCTGACACCTGACCTGTCCCCGTGACCCCTGCCCTGTGACCTACCCCGTCACCATGGTTACTGCCTGTGGGACGGACCTGCTGTCTCAGGTTCTCCTGCAGCCTGTGCTGCAGCTCCACCATCTCCGCAGTGCTCATGCCCGGGGCCGTTGTCACGGTTACCGACGCCGTGGTAACCAGGGTGTCGAACACATCGTCCTTCTGCTTGGCCGTTGCCGTGGGCGACGGTGGGAAGGGTCGGCTGGGAGAGGTTGGGGTGGGGGGCTCGGAGACGGAGCTGGAGTTGATGCTGGAGACAGAGCTGAGGGAGGGGCGCCGTGTGGAGTACACACACTTCACGGGGACAACTGGGGATACAATAATACAATATATAGTCAGTCAGTCTAGCAAAACTAGCAATGAGGAGTACACACACTTAACCGGAACAACTGGGGACAACACAATATAGTCAGTCAGTCTAGCAACACTAGCAATGTGGAGTACACACACTTCACTGGAACAACTGAAACAACACAAGGTTATACATGTATATAGCCAGTCTAGCAAAACTAGCTGTGTGGAGTATACACACTTCACTGGAACAACTGGGGACACAATAAAGTTATATTCAGTCTAGCAAGACTAGCTGAGTGGATTATACACACTTCTCTGGGACAACTGGGGACACAAGGGGGATGGAGCATTAATACAGGACAAACTGTAGTTTTTCCTTAGTTTAGTTGAAAAGTATGAAAGTACACTAACTAAAGTACACTAAATTGTAGTACAACAGAATGGTCTACTCATAATTAACGAAGACGTAAAGAAACAAACTCACCTTCACCAAATGTATCAATTGTCTGAAAAAAAGAAGATGGAATGTTAGAAAGGTGTGCATACAAAAAAAGAATCAACCACCCCAATCAGTTATGAACTAGAATTATATAACGTTAACAATCTACATCCAAGTTGAAGAGTAATGCTTGAGACAAGGCAAAGCCAGCCAAAGTACTTCAATTAAGTCATCATTTTTAATTCTGAATGCTATTACATTTTCACAAATCAGAATGCTGCTTCTATTTTTTCCCAACCCAAACTTAATTTGAGTCCTCACATTGAGCATGGTGTGCTGGTCCCGTACGAAGCGAGTCGTCTTCCCGATCTCCTCATCCACCTTACGGTCACTGATGAAGTGCTGCCAAAATTACACAATTACACACTGTCAGTATACACTAAGCATTAACATTTAGGCAGTGGGCAGAACACTGTCATTAGACAATGGTTAACATAATGGAGAAGACATGTGGTATCTTCCAAATCTCAGCACATAATCTTGTGATAAAAACATGGGGTTTACAGCAATCACTGTCCTTGAGGACAATTTGCTACAAATACACAAGGATGCAGGATTGATTAATCTTGATCTTCTGCTGTTTCTGTGCTACTTGATGTAAAAATCTTCAGTGATGTATTCCTACTAAGTGAAGTTCAAACCAGTCACAGAAAATCTTGAAGAGTGTAGGAGCAACAGCTATAAAATCATGGCTGTGATAATCTTAGCTAGAGACAGAAGACTGTACCTTGATGTCTTAACCACATGTACATGTAGAGATATGGTTCAATGTACCTTGATGTCTTAACCACGTGTACATGTAGAGAGATATGGTTGTACCTTGATGTCTGCCCGTAGTTCAGACAGCTGTGCCTCTGTCATGGTGGGAGCGCGAGCTGTCCTCACCTTCAGGTCTACTGCCTGCTGCTGACGCTTCGACAGGATCTCAACTGGAAATACATAGGATACAGCACAATGGTGAGTAAAATAAGAAAATGTGCAGATGATCAACACATCCAATTTCAGCATACTGATAATCATGACCAAAAGGTTTTTATTGAATACAAATTTTCCAAGGCCACCTTCCAAAGATAATAGTCCGTTTTGCTGTTATCATACATATATGCTGAATTTTCAAATCTTTCATCCTTTATATTACATGTAGTTAATTTTCTATTATCCTAATATTTCATACCCTCACTTTATTATCTTCATTTATACTTTTATTCTATTTTCATTGTTGATAACTATCCACCATAACTTCAAATTTGTTGTTTTCATATTTACTTTACCCATGACGCAATCTTACTCCATGACCCTTGTACATCTTTACCCCTACTCCCCAAGCTAAGATGGGCGAGCATATTCCTATGCTTTACATTGAACGGGATACTCACTAGCATGAGCCTTGACATGGTCCAGCTCCAGCATGAGCGCGACCTGTATGAAAATATATGAATGATTTATTTCAGTTGACACTTCGCAACCATTGGCTGAATTATGTACAATTTTCTAATGGAATCAAATAAAAACTAGAACTGTAACATTTGCAAAGCAATATATAATGTTTACCTTCGCATATGGTCTGTTCTGTTAATTCTTACTCGTATGTATTCATCTCTATGCTCTGGCAGGAGTCTAAATCCCTCCTGCTGTAAAATTGCAACATTATGTAACCCAACACTAGTTACCATGGTGATAGACCATCTGATTCAGGTCATTGACCTTATTTGCTTGGAGAAGAAGAGGAAGAAACTGAGCAAAAACACTATGTTTTCCTTTGGTAAACATAATTAAAGGCGTTAAACGGGTTACGAGTGTTGGAACTTAGGTTCATGACAAATCCATGAAACATTTGATCATTTTCTTTAAACAGACAAACAAACAAACAGACCTCCCTGTCGTCCAGCCTCTGGTGCAGCTCCTGGAACGCCGTCTGGATGCGCTTCACCGAGGCGTCGATCTCCTCGTTCAGCAGGTTCCGGTAACGCTGCAGCGACACAGTCGACCGCTGAAGGTCCTTCACCGAGCGCTCCAGGCCCGCTCCTGGGAGGGGGGGGATAGGCAATTAGGTGGTAAGAATCTGGCTCTGGCAACATTCAAGGTTCAAAAGGACTTTCCTGCCTTTGTGTACTGTAGGTGACATATGTCTTCATTTTCTATCCCTTCCAATGTTCGAATATGATCCGGGCGCCATCATAAAAATCATCATAATCTGCTGTATACCTCAATGCAAGTTTGGGATCACTGGTGCAGGTAAACATCAGAGATACCTACTCCAATTTTACCTGCACTAACCTGCATGTGCAAGTGATATTTCGAGCACTGATTATAGTTATATGGCCAATGAGTCGTAGTCATTTTAGTTTTCCCATTTTTTGGAAAGCAAGCAGACCAACCACCACACCAGTTATACACCAGTTATTAACCCAAGTGGAGGTACATGTACCACCACACCAGTTATACACCACTTGTAAGTTAAGTGGAGGTACCTGGTTTCTTTCCAGAGCCTCCTTTACCCAGGCTGGCTGTGGAAGCAAAAACAAGTTTCAAATCTATGTATATGTATCATATTCATCAAAGAAACATAGTATTACCACAGTACTGAATCTAGTCACTGAAGAAGTAACTAAATTCTACTCTACCTGGTCTCTTTGTTGACCCCGTTGCCCCCTTCTCGGCAGCATGGCTGGACGCTTGGCTGCGATTGGACGACTCGCTAATCGTCCGTACGCGATCGGAACTAACGGACAGCCGGCTCGGACTGTTAGGTCTCCTGTTACGCCCTACAAAGGCGGGAAGAAAATCTTTCTGTGAGAAATCAAGTACTGTCAGTATTGGAGCAGTCACACTTATTGTAGATCATTGCATGATTTTGATGTTGTAGAATTTCAAAGCAAGCTGTGACAGAATCAACCACCAACAAAGACATAAGGCAGCATTTTCTGTAACAATACAGCTGGGTCTTATACAACGTACATGTAGGCAAGACTATCCAAAGAATGCCCTTTGCAGTTTGCAGTGTTAAGAAGATTGTGTAACACTCAGGATTCCTGCACAGCCACCAGTGTTTTTCTCTGATACCCAGAATCGCACCACTGCCACCAGAGGCACTCTGACACTACACAGCCAGTACCCAGCACTTGTGTACGTGTAATCTTAACTCTGCCTCCAGAATTTTACAGATTCTTAAAGTTGCTGCACAACATTCTGTTGACTAGAGTTGGGTATGTGAACGATCTGGGCTAGCTAATGCTACATCCCTTGTATAATACAGTCAAAACTGCCCAAGAAGACCTCTCAAGGGACTGATTCAATTTGGTGTATGTTCGCAGGATTCTTAACACTTGTGGCAATGGGGAAAATATCCAAGGATTTACACTGACAAGGTGGTCCTTATGTAGAGATGGTCACTTGTACAGGTTTGACTGTATGTATAATGTAGATTCTAGGATATCACTGCAACCATCACTAGCAACTTGAAGATTCAAAACACCAAACAGCAGAATAACAAGTAGAACCTCGAATCACAAACACAAAAACAACAGCAAAGCTTTGAGCAACATTATCTAGAACAGCAAATCAGCCATGCATGTGTATGTAAAGGCATACATGTAAGAGATTGCCTATAAGCAATGGAATGGCTCACATGCATGTTAGTATGACCTACCTTTACCACGTGCCTTTCCTGGGGGGTTAGTCTTGCCAGACTTTCGTTTCGTACCTTCATCCAAACTACCTTCCACCACAGACACCTCGGGACCCTGGGACAGAGAGGCCTCCGGTGGCACGGGATCCTGGGAAGGAGGCACACCTATGGGCAGGGAGCTGGGGTCATGGGTCACCGGGACAGGGCCTGTGGGGGAGGGGGGCAGAGAACAGGTCATGACCTTGGAACTTTGCCGTCAACTTGGGACAAAAATAAAAATGGAAAAATAAAAGTGAACAAAACAAAAACATTGTTAATATTGTAAGGAACATTCTAGTTTATATTTATGAGGGTGGCTGGAATTAGTGATTTAAACAAAACATTTTGTTCAATTTGTCAAGAATATTCCTTACACATTTAGTTATACAAGAAAAACTTAAGTTTAAGGGTTGGTTTAAGGGTTGGTTAGGTGGAGTTTTGGGTCTTGACAGACGATGTTCCAACTCAAACACTTGATTGACTTATTCAAAAGTTTTTAGTTTAAGTTGTCTGAATTCTGGTCTGAGTTGGAACACAGACTCCACAAGATCAGTTCTCACCATTAGGAATGCTATCCAGCACTACAGGGTCTACTGCACTCTCTGTGAGGAAAGATTATCAACCAATCATCAGGGTGCATGTTAACCACCACCAGCACCACAGCAGTCTTCTACAACTGCAGTTTTGATTATGACTGTATCAGTACTTATGTGCTTCCATAAAAAGTTATCAATAAATTCAACACTCATGTACAGCAATTTTTCCACTACTAAAAATATTATGAGGCAAAAGCTGAAGCTAACCTCATGCAAAATATATCTCCATCTAGCCTAGACATTCAAACTTAATATTATTCAAACTGGGGTCCCTGAAACTTGCAAAGTCAGCTGATACCTTAACCCAGTAACAGAAATATAAAGATACAGAATGGAAAATCATGTGTTTGGCCTTATAAATTTAAACCCATCTAGTCTTTATGAAAGCTCAGTTTTCTAAAACTCAGTAAACGGACTATACTAGTACTTGTTTTCAAGCAGTGACCAAAACCAGTGAGCACCTTACCATTGGGCACACTGTCCAACTCTATCCCACTCTCTATACTGGGGCTGGTGGGGGAGTGCATGTCGTCTGACTTGGCTGTCTCTGTGGTAACCAGGTCAAGGTTCACGGAGCCCTCCGTCGGCGCCTCTGTCGAGCTGACATCGTCTTCTTTAGGAGCCTCGGTCTGATGAGGCGGCTGCACGGCCTGCTGGGATTGCTGCTGCTGCTTGTTCTTTTTCTTCTTCTTTTTGTTGTTCGACTGGAGAAAAAAAAACATGATGTTAATTAACAATGAAGAAAAGATGTTCAAGAAACCCTCATTGTTTCAATCAACATGTTTACAGGGAGATTTAGTGTAGTGGTTTTATTTTGACAATGTGTAGGACTAGAGAAAAGAATAGTCTTTGTGCTGTTTTAACTTCAAAGTTGAAACAATTCTACAGGCCAATTCATTGGAGATGCAAATCAGGGTGTCATGAAGTTGTAAAATCTTCAAGATATACAGTATTATCTACAAAGTACATGGATGAAAAGAGTAAAAGAATGTGCAATATGCAAACACAAACCACAGACAGGGAAACTGACCTTTTTTCCTGTAAAATTCCACTCCTTCAACACCTGTGCAGCTCCATCTGAAACAAAGTTCATATACATTTAAACACTTGTCATACACACACAGACACACACACACTCACTCAATCACTATTCAGTTTAGCATGGAACAATATATCAGCAATAAAAAAAAGGTTTCATCCAATCTTAATAATCTTTCGACCACAAACATTTTAAGAACTGGTATAAGATTCCATGTAAATGTCACTAAAAATGCCCGATTTCCGGTGTTTTACCTTCCATGAAAGAAGCGATGGCCTTGTCCACATCATAGTCATGATACTGCAGGACCAGCACTATCTCATTATTGCTGCGGTTCAGAACTACTTCTCTTATGGCACTGATCTGGGGAACAAGGGAAGATACATGATGTTAACATTCAACTCATTACAACAGTGGAGGTTTTCTCAGGAAAGACTTTACTGAATATGATTTAAGGAAAATATCATTTAACATTTCAGCTTTCTCCAATGGTACATGTAGAAAGAATTTATGTGGAGAAGAAAATGAAGAATGGTAGAAAAAAGTTTCAAAGAGGAAAAGTACATGTTGCAAAAGTTAACAGGTGGAAGAAGTGGAGACTAAATTATGCATATTAACTTGTCTAATTCTTGTGAAATGGGGGAGTCTTCTTTTTGTCTTTCCAAAATAGAAGATAGTGATAACACACATGTATATCAGATAACACACATGTAATCAAGTAATTTATGAACAAATACATGTACACTGTAGTTTTAAATCACACAGGGTTCAAATAGACAAAAATTACATAACTTGATAAGGAAAATCTTACTTTCTGTTTGATATTTTCAGGGTTGAGTTCGTCGGCCATGACGGTGTTGGTTCTGCTGTCAAACACCAAAACTCCAGAATCTGGGGACAGAAGGGAAACATGTTAGTCATTCAGCGGATATACATGTATTTGCAGATGCGTATAAAACGTCTAACCCTCGGAAGACGGGGAACAACAGACGATAAACCGGACAGTGAGTGAGTGAGATATACTATGATATAGATATATAGATATCATATATTCATTCATAACTACTCTGTAACAACCAGCTGAAATATACAGACACAATATTTATACTTCTACCCACAGACAGTAGCTAGTACGGGGTCATTTTACATATGGCCGATCTTGATGTTTCAAAAACTTCAGAAGAAAGAAAAAAGCTACTAAGGAAGCAGGGAGAAACTTCTGTCTCCTTACTAAGTTACTATTGTTTTCACACGTTAGCAGTTGCAAGTATGTCTAGCTTCTTAATTAACAAATCTTAACCTGTCTTAAGACACTGCCAAAATAGTAACACTGTCTCAAGACTTGAGACACTGCTGGATAAGATCCAAGAAGCCAGTCATCTCAGTTCAGGTCCAGTAGTGCTGCCCCCCCCCCCAC